CCGAGCCCAGGGATTGCTCATCGATCGCTCCCTCTTCGAGCAGGAGCTGCTTAGCTCCGGCGACGCCCACGGGGCGGGCACTGAGGGGGCGGTACCAGCCCCCGACTCTTTCCAAGCCACGCACTTCGGCAGCTTCGTGCGGCAGCTGAACCTCTACGGCTTTCACAGGGTGCCGGGCTGGGTTGGCTCGGATGAGCCGGGCGATGCCGGGGGCTGGCTCCACTTCAGGAACCCCAACTTTCGTCGCGACCGCCCCGACCTCCTGCTCCGCATCAAGCGCCTGACCAGGGCCAACAGGCAGCGGCTGGCAGCGGGGCTGGAGGTGCGCAGCCGCCAGCCCAGCCGCTTCCAGCAGCTGCACACGGAGCGGGCGGTGCCCTCCTTCCCCGCCGGGCAGCCGCCCAGAGCCGGTGAGACGGGGTGGGAGCTGCGGGCGAGACGGTGGCGTGGGCTGCGGCCGTGGGCACTGCCCGGCGGGGCAGGAGCGGGCCCTGCCCGTGCTGGGGCTGCTCAGCGCAGCTGCCCCGCCTGGCACAGGGGCTGTCCTTGGGCAAGGCAGCTGTGCCGGCAGGGCCCGGGAGCTGTGCCGGCTCTGCCGGGCTGCCGGGGCTGCGGGACAGTCCCGCCGCGGCTGCGCTCACCACAGCCTGGCCCGCTCGGCTGCAGCTGGCCCAGCCGTGCGCCGTGGCTGGCGCTGCTCCTTGCCCTGCCCTGGGATGCTTGGGGGGCTCTCTGAGTGCGTGTGAGCCGAGGGCTTGGGCCCAGCTGGAGGGAGCCTCCTGTCCCTCCGGGGCAGCGGGGAAAAGACCTGCCAGTTGGGTTTCTGGCAGTTGCCTCCTGCCAGGGTAAGACAGTTTTCCCAGACAGTTGAATGAATAGGTGAGAGCTCAGTAGGTGAGTATCTGCTAGCTGAATAGCTCCAGAACATGTGGGGGTTTTTGTCTTTTACTTTCTCACTGTGCTTGGGAGGATGGGAGCTTTTGTTTTCCCTGACAGAAGTACAGTTGCTTCCAAGGGAAAACACACCTAAAGACCAATAGTGACCCAGCCTTCCCTTTGCTTCCTTTCTTCTTCTCTCACTGATACACAGTGCTTTCATACCAAGACCTCGCTGCTGCCTCATCTGAGGGTTTAGAGCTGCCTCCAGGCCCTTCCAGGCTAAGTGCAGCTGCTCAGGACTCTGAGGTTTTCCTAACATCTCCCAAGAAAATCTTTGCCTCATCTGGACTTCTTGGGGTTTCATCCGAGGAACCAGGCACAGGCAAATTTCATCTCAACTGTGAGCTCATCATTCCACTGGTTCCCATGGAGCTTAAATGCCAACCTGAGCTCATCATTCCGCTGGTTCCTGTAGACCATCACAACCCTTCCATGGCCTCTCCAGAGAGGAGCAGCTGCCCATCTTCAGAGCAGCAGTTGCCAGCCCGCAGCCCATCAGGTAGGGAAAGAGCTTCTACCTTTGCTTTCCAAGCAGGTCCTGGTTAATGACCTTTTAAAGTGCTTTCCTGCAGTGCTCTATCATGGATAGATTGCAGATGAGAATCAGGTAGAAGGTGTCAAGTCGCCTAGGAAGGGGGACCTTGAAAACAGAAAGATTCTCTGCCTGATTTTCCTGCCCTTGCTGCAGATTTGGAGGGTGTTCTGGGCATTTGGCAGACAGCCTCTGTAGGGGTACAAGGGCAACGTGAAAGATATTGCCTAACAAGTGGTCAGTGTTAGGTGCACTCTCCTCTTTCTTTGAATGAAGCCAAACTAGGACCCTGATAGGATACTGCAGATGTTTAAGACTGTCTGCCCTGCAAATCAAGCCGTGCCATTGAAATGAGCTCTGTGCGCCCTACAACAGCTGCAGCTGCAGAATATTGCCTCACCCTCAAGTTTGTTTTTAGAATAAACTCACAGTACAAGTTTAGCATGCATGTCTGCAGGTCTTGGCTCTTCCTGGGTGAATCCATTTTTTGTGATCTTTTGTGATTATGAGAAACCAAATGTAGCCAAATCCCAAAGCTGCTGGGAAAATGCAAAAAGCTGTGATTATAAGGTGTTTCTGTGTGTCTATATCAGATTTCCAGTCCATGCTTTAATCTATGTACATATCAATTAGCATAAATATTTTTAAGAGGAAGAACTCACTCCTCCAATCTCCTGGGAAGTCTGAATACATTTCTGGAATGGAGGTTGCTGTGTGCTTCCTGTGATGTTTGATGCAAGGCAGCACTAGAGCTCTGCGTCCCAAAGACACATTGTGGAGCCTGACCAATGTGTTTGGACTCTTGCAGCCATCCCAGACACTTCAGCCCCCAGCACTCCAGCTGGCAGTGCAGGTTGTGCAGCATGGACAGCCCCCAGCTGGCTGTGGAATACTCCTGGGGAAGAGGAATTGCCACCACCGGATCTGGACATGGTGCTTGAGACGCTGGAGGAGATGTTTTCTCCCTCTGCTCAGGTAACTGCATTGGACAGGGAAGAAAGGGGCTGGACTGAGAGCTTGTGAATGTTGCATGGCTGAGAAGGAAAAGCTTCTTGAGTTCAGCTGTGAATGGACAAGGAAGGCTTTGCTTGCTGAAAGAAGATTTCGAGAAGAAGAGGGAATGAAAAAGAGGGATCGCCCTTAAATGAGGATGAAAGGTGTTCACCGGGTTTGGTTGCTCCTACTGGGAAGAATCCCTGGTGCAGGGGCATTTGTGGTGAGGAGGTGGAAGCTTTGTAGGTTCTAAGAGGCTTTGTTTGCTGGGAAAGAGGAGAAAAAAAAAAGCTTTCTTGTTCTCTCAGTAAGCTGCTGCCTGCAGTCCAGTTTCCATTGGGAAATCCTCAGCTGGGCAAACTGGCCAGTCGTGCTGTCCATGCTGCAGAGCTCAGTCCCCTTGCTCTTGGGCATCTCTGTGGGAAGAGATGTGTGTTCCCATGCTGTCCCTGCCAAGGTGCAGCCTGGATGAGACTGCTGTGCTCAGGGCAGTGGAGGGAAGAGCACATCCCTGTGCCAGGAGCTGGCAGGACGACTCCTTAGCAGCCATTCCATGCGTTCATTGTCACCCCCATGTTCAATACTGTCACTGTCAGCTTTGACAGCTTTTGGACTGTGTTTGAGAAGTCAAATTGTTTTGACTGTTGAAGGGCTTTGGGGCCCAGAGTTCTTGTTAGGAACAAGGGATCAAGTGTGTGAGCCATGGAGGTGCTGGACCAGGTGTTTTGTGTAAGTGATGAGAAGGGTTTCTTCCTTTCTGTTTCTCTTTCAAGGGGAATATTAATGTTGCCCCTGAGTCTTCAGGAGGGGAGCCTGTGGACAGAGCTGCAGCAGAGGGAGCTTTGCCTGGCACCAAGAGCTGCAGGAACAATTCCCAGGAGCCCGAGGAGCTTGGTAAGGACAGAGCCCACACTGGTTTAGAGAGGGGTGAGATGGCTGCTCTGAGCCTGCCTCCGGCAGGAAGGGAGATGAGAAGGGTTGAGTTCCTGTCTGCAGGCTTGGTGCTTCCTGGTGCCTTGAGTTCAAATCCTGCATGGGCACAACCTGCCTGAGCCCTGCCCCCCACGCTTCTCCAGAGGCTCTGACCCTGAGTCCTCTGCTGGGGCAAGAGAGCAGGGAATAAACCTGACCTTGTGGGAGTTGTGTCACCAAGCCGGGTATCCCAGTTTTGTGCTGATGTCCATGGATAAGTTTGCTGCAGGATGTTAGTGAGCTGGAGGCAACACTGAGTGACTCTTGAAGCAAGAGAGGAAAAGCCCAGCAAACAGTGAATGTAGAAGTCGAAGCTTTTTGTCTCCAAGCATTAAATCAATGCAGTACCACCAGTCTGCTGATAGCTGTAGTGAGATACATTAAAAATACAAGCAGCAGAAGATCTGAGGCCAAGGAAATCATTAGTCACAAATCCAGTAGCTCAAGGAAAAACTGAAATTACTCCAACTTAGGGAGAACTAAAGGAGAGAGAGAGCACTTTCGATCTGCATTCTTGAGCAAAGCTGGTGCAGCCTGCAGGCCTGGTAGGGAGCTCTTTCCTCCCAGCTGTTAATCCCAGAGCTGGTGGTTGTTTTGGAGGAGCTGTTGCTCACTGCAAAGGGCAGGTTGTAGATGACAGAGAACGGTGCTGGTTCATGACTCAGCTCCCAGCACATTTCAGCTTCAGCCATTTCAGTGAGGACTGAGGTCTCTCTGTCAGCACAGAGAAAGAACAAGGCTGGGCTTCTTTGTGGCAGCTGGGACTGTCTGTGTTTCAGGCTGTCCTGGGGGCCCTTTGCACTGCAAGAGCTTTGAGTTTACTGGGATACTTCAAAACTTCAGAAGTTTGAAAACTGGGAAGGATTCTGGCTCTTTGAAGAGCAGGTCTGAAATTGCCAAGTGAGAATCTGTCTTTTAAGCTATCTTTTACAGTCTTTGGTAAATGGAAAATTTCTTCAAAATGATAAGATGCACAGAGGCCAATACTGACCCAATGTTCCCTTTGTTTCCCAGATATCCACCTGATCTACCTTGCCAGGAGGGCTGCCTTGCGTGAGAAGAAAAATCAGAGGGAGAGCCTGTGATCATCGGGCAAGTGGAATCTCTCCATTTATACATAGATTTATAGATGCCTATAGTTCTATTTATATATCCACATAGTTATATTTATAACTTTATAGACATGTGTTAATATATGCATATATATATATCTATATACTTAAATCTATGTATCTTGTTATAGATGAGATAAAATTATATGTATAGGTATGTAGTTACATTTATAGATTTTCAAATGTACATTCATTTATTTATAGAGTAATAATTACATATATATATATTTAGATATTTATATTTATAAATCTGCATAGTTATGTAGTTAGAGTTATATGGATTTTTAGATGGATAGGTTGATGTTTGTTATAAATCTGCATAGTTATGTAGTTAGAGTTACATGGATTTTTAGATGGATAGATTACTGTTTGTGTAGGTACATGTGCCTAGGCTGCATCTTTACCTCTTTCCCCCTCGGCTGCCTTTTTCACCTCTTGCTTTTCCCCCGGTGTCCCCTGTCCCTGTGCTGGGTCCGAGCTGGCGGCCGGGCCGGCCAGAGCAGCACTTCCAGCCCCGGCTGTCCCTGGAGCGGTGGGAGCTGCCGCTGGCCCCAGGCACTGTCCCCTGAGGAGCTGCTGAAGGACGGTGAGACTGAGGGGGCTGAGGGGGCGGTGGCGCCCAAAGGACGGTGACCCTGAGCTGCTGCTGGGGCTGAGGGCTGTGGGGCAGCCGAGGGCCATGGTGGCACTGAGGTGACAGGGAAGTGGCACAGGCTGATGGGGTGGCGGGTCTCAGGGGACGGAATGGCTCAGAAGGGACTGAGGGGGATGAGAGGACTGTGAGGGGCTGGAAGAAACTGAAGGGGGCTGGGGCTTCACCGAGAGCATGGCAGGGCTTAGGGGATGGAGCGGGGGGCAGCAGGGAGCACAGAGGGCTCTGGGACTGCAGCTCTGTCAGGCCTTGGAAGCAATTCCAGAGCCTCCACTTTTGCCCCAGCTGCAAGGAAGACCTTGAGGACAGCCATAGAGTGACGGGAGGCAGCCGGGAGGAGCTGAAGGCCAGCAGCAAGAGCAGCGAACGGGGACCTGTTGCTGCCAGCCTGGAGAGAGCCCGGGTGAGGCCACAGGCCCGGGCAGGCAGGCTGGGGCTGAGGCTGCCGTGGGCTGCGGCCGTGGGCACTGCCCGGCGGGGCAGGAGCGGGCCCTGCCCGTGCTAGGGCTGCTCAGCGCAGCTGCCCCGCCTGGCACAGGGGCTGTCCTTGGGCAAGGCAGCTGTGCCGGCAGGGCCCGGGAGCTGTGCCGGCTCTGCCGGGCTGCCGGGGCTGCGGGACAGTCCCGCCGCGGCTGCGCTCACCACAGCCTGGCCCGCTCGGCTGCTTTCTCTTTCCGACCCTCCTGGGGAGGCTCTGACATTTCCTCTTCCCTGATGGAAGTGCAGCTGCTGCCAAGGGAAACGTCCCCATACTCACTCAGTGTTCCCTTTGCTTCCCAGATGTCCCATCTGCTGTCGCTGTCCAGGAGAGCTGCTCTGCATGGGAGGAGGAGACCAAGGGAGAGGCTTGGAAGATGGGGCAGCTGGGATCCCTCTGCTTGGAGCTCTGTTTATAGATGTTTGGACTTACACCTAGACAGGGATAATTATATGGATATGTACATGTATGTTCCTATTTGTATAGGAATATTTCTATATGAATGTTGGTATATTTATGGATGTATTATATATATGTATGCATATATATACATATGTGTTTGTAATTACTTACATGTGTATATATGTATCATATGTATCTATGTATACATGTATGTTGCTATATCTCTGTTTAGTTCTATTTCCTAGGTTTACAGCTGTGTAGGTGTCTTTGTATTGATGCAGTTATAGGTATATGTTTCTTTAAATAGGTATAATGGAATTTGTATTGGTTGATATGTCTCTTTTTGTATTTTTTTAATGTAGATTGATCTTCTCTCTATTTAATGTTATTTACGTATGTGTCTAGATGTATAGATATATTTTTGCATTGATACAATTTGGTGGATATTTAGTTTGGTGATATTTGTATATTTATAGATAGGTTTGTTTTATATATCTACTGATATCTATATTGTATGTAATATGTGATGTTTTATCTATATTTACATCTCTAGATTTTTATACTTGTATTTATATATATCTTCATATATGTATGTTTTTAATTCAATTTCAACATGTATAGAGTGGTATAGTTGTGTAATTCTATAAATTGAATTTGTATTGTAGGTCTTTTTAGAGAGGGAATGTGTATTTTTGTATTTATGTGTGGGATGTACATTTGTAGTAATAGGTAATAAATTAAGTCCTTAAACACTTAATTGATCTTTGTGTATAGTGAGTTGTTGTAGATTTTGGCAATAAATAAGTTTTTCTTACCTGAAGTTGGTATTTGTAGATCTTTACACAGACTGGTTGTAATAATCTAATAAATTCCTGGTTTTTAATTTAAACTGAGATTTGTATTGTTCTGTATTGTCAGTGTGGGTGTAGCAATTTGTAATAAATAACATTTTCTAACTGAAATTGATTCTCATGTATTTGTGGATCAGCAGTGTGGCTGTAGCAATCTGCAAGAAATGCCATTTGTCAGCTGCAATGAGTGTTCTGTGATTTGTGCTACCCAAAGCCATGAGCAGATGTAAATGCTGGAGGATTTTGGCCATGCAAATCTCCAGCCATGCCCAGCACATGCCCCACCTGCACTCAGGCTGGGCAAGGGAAGCGCAGATTTGGGCTGACAGCAGAGCCCCACGTTGGCTCAGAACTCACTGCAGAGGCTGCTGAGAAAACTCCGAGACTCTGCTGAGAGCACAACTCCTCTGTGTATATGCAGATAATTCAGTCCATGTTTGGTTCTTTACATACAGACACACACAGATATATGTAGGCAGCGCTTAGAGAAACCTGTAACATACTCAATTATGGGAGCTGAAATGCATTTTTCTCTGTTTATATAAAGGGTCAGCAGAGTTGTGCCATTCTGTAGCCATCCTGTAACAGGCAGTGATCACTGTGTCTAAGCAGTGAAGTTGTAGCAATCCATAATGAATTTCCCTTTTAAACTGAGATTACCTTTGGGGCACTTCTCATTTCCATGATGAGTTACCACATCAATGTTTGTCCCTGTTTCTTCACTGATCCTGAAGCTCTGGCGAGTGTAGGACAGGCCCTGACACCCAGTTCCTCACAGGCCTGTCCAGCTGTGGGCAATAGACCTGTCTTGTCTGTGAAACATCCATCTGAGGTTATTTGTCTGAGAGCCGTGTCCATATCTAGAACCCCCTCAGGCAGCACCGTGGCTGGGGAGGGGAAAAATGTAAGAGGATTCTGGCATTTATTCCTTTTTAACACGTATTTGCACTCAGCTGTAGCCTCAACTTAGTAAGGAAAAGGACAGACTTTCTTTAGTCATGCAGTGTGGGATAAACGGTGTGGGAACAGCCACAAGCCAAGCTGCAGGAGCAGCTTCTTCTTGGTCTTAACAGGACATTGTGTACAGGAAAGCACCACCACCTTAATGATTCACCTCTTAGGTAAAGCCACAATGGTTCACCATGTAAAACCAACTGGGGATGGAAATAACGAATGTCCCTGGGCTGGGGCAGAAGCCTGGGAGTCAAACACTTGGAAAAAGAGACCTGGCAAAGCCAGCCCAAGGCACAGGCACGCATTTGGCTCCGGGCAAGAGGGAGCTTGTACTGCCAGCACGGGAAGGGACTCCAGGCAGAGGAGCTGGCCCGCAGCAGGGAGCAGCTCCTGCTGTCAGGACTCACAGGACGCAGGAGCAGCGGGCACATGGCAGATGGACAGCAGAGCCACTCCTGAGCCGCCAAGGTGACCCCTCCTGGGGCTGCAGTCACAGCGCAGTCACCTGTCCTGCACGCTCCCTTTGGCTTCTTGAGCTCCAACCTGTGTTGGCGTTTTTCCTTTTCATGAACGGGACGGGATTGCTGGGGTACATTACTTGAGCTTTATTAGCAGCATCAGCCTCGTTACATGGCTGAGAAAATAGGAACATGGCAAAGCTCACGTACAGCCAGCAGCAGCCAAAGATTTCTTTGTTAGAGCATCTTAAAAACTTTTTAGCCAATAGCATATTGCTAAAGCTTACAGACAGTTGTTTTAACTGATTACTAAAAGTACACACACACCTGCTGCACACAGTGCTTGTCTTCTTTCTATTAAGAATATACAATATTCCATTTTAAGCTTAAAACCTTCTACGATCTTGCTAAGCATATTTTCCTGCAGTCTTAAGGTCTATCTTAGCCAAGCCTAAGACTCAAGTTATTGTTTAATGTCCTCGCTTGGTGTACTATTGTAACTTTTTCTACTTTCAGAGTTTGCAGCTAACTCTAAGTTACTTGGCTCTTTCTGTTTCTTTTCCAGCTTTCTAAAAATCTTCTTAACTTTACTAATTCCTACACAACTCACTGCAGAAAGTAGACCTGATTATAAATTACAGCAATTATAAGACCTCAGAACTAGTTGGCCACTGCTAATAGTGGATTTTCAATTTCTTTTACTATCTCTGTATTAAGTATCATCTGTGCTTCCAAAAGTAGTGCTCCAAATTTAGAACCATGCATTCTCTCCTTTAACAGATATATACATATACATATACATATACATATACATATACATATACATACATATACATATATATATACACATATATTTATATGTTTGTAATTTTATATGTTTGAAACATCTGTGTGAAGAAAGCATAACCTTAAGAATGTGTACTTGTTTTATAGCAGCATGTTTCCACAGAAATTTATTTCAAATTCTTTTCTGAGGTACCTATAGTATAAAGACACTTTGCTAAAGCTATTAAGGATGAGAATTGCAGGGCTGGTTTAAAATCTAATCCAAAATCTTTTTCATTCTGTCCAATATTTCCATTAAATCTGATTAAAGCCCAAGATTAAAATACTAGAATTCTATTTTCTTCTCTTTTCCCCCTAGGAAACAAGGCATGTGTATACTTTTGATTTTTAATTTAAAGACAGTAATCCACTGGACTGACTGATACCTTGGAACTTCTTTATCATTTAAACTACCCATGGTTCTCAGGAATATCACCAGCTGGGGCTCTATGTACAAATAATGAATGGGACGAGACTGCTGAGGAACACACCTTGAGCTGTTTTATTTTTCAGCACCAGTCTCAATACACGGTTATGACAATGGGAAGACGCCATCAGCTCAGATCCCAAAGAGCAGACCAAAAACTTAGTGCTACAACTTACTTTAAAAGTTTTTTGACCAATCACACAAAGCAAAAGCACATTGACAGTAGTTCTACCCAACCACTGTAAGCACACATTAAAACAAGCTTGTTAAAACAAGACTTGCTTATTTCAAATAGAATACCTGACCTGCTTACCTGCTTGTAAGCCTTAAAACACAATGCACAAAACTCCATCATTAAGCTTAGAAGTTCCTAATATCTTGCTAGACATACTTTTCTGCAGCTTAAGTCAATCTGAACAAGCAGCAAATAGAACAATCTAAACCATTGTTCTATTTGTCCTTACTTTTCTACTTTTTACATAATTTTTCTGCTGACCTATCTCATGGCTACTGCTGAGATCTAATCAAAGTTCTGCTGTCTCTGAGGCCTGCCTTTTGCAGCTTTCCCAAAACTTTCTGATTTTATAAATTCCCATAACTTTTGCCTAAGTTTTTGTCTTTTCTCTTCTAGGTTGCTCCAAGATTGTATATGAAGGCTTGTCAAGTCTCTAAAAAATCAGGTATCTAGAATTTAGTTCTGTGGTCTCAGCACAGCCACCTAATACTGTTTTAAATGTAAAATGTCCATAAAGAGCCTACAGATACCACCCAAGACCTGCAGAACACTCATGTCCTTTTGGACAGGCAAATAAAACATGGCATCTCCCCTTAAAAATGCTCTCAAACACGCTTAGGCAGCTACATAAAGTTTCTGTAGTTGGACTGCATGGTATTTGCAGTCATTACTTCCCCCAGTAAAAATGAGGTGCATTACAGTTGATATTTAATAATTTCAGGCTGTACTTTAGTTTCCCATGTACCTGTGCCTCCATGGGAGCTGGGTGTCCAAACTGCCTGTAGAGCTGGTGGAGATCTCATCCTTGGTTCAGGTGCCTTCAAGAGGGCACCTTGATCAATTTAATCGACCTGTGGGATCTATTGTGCCTCATTTGCTGCTCCAGAAGAAAAAGGGTCTCCCATACAGACATGGACCCTACAGACATGGGGTGCAGGGCAGGGGTCTTGGGTACAGGAGATGAGCTCCTGAGGTGGAAGGTACACTCATCTTCTTTAGATAGATAGATAGATAGATAGATAGATAGATAGATAGATAGATAGATAGATAGATAGATAGATGTGAAAATCTAGCCCAGCTTGGAGGCATGAGGGGCTGCAGGAGATTTTGGCAGCTGTAGACGTGCTCAGCTGGCTCTTCTGCTCCTAACTCCCAGGGTAAAACCAGGAGGCTTTGTTGAGGAGGTCTCTTTTGATGGGAACACAGCTTCATGGAGGGCACTGACTCTAGGAGTCTGACTTTTGAAACAAATTAATCCTTTGCTGAATGACTGTGATATTTGGCAGATATGAATAACTATAGTGAAATTCATTTAAGGGGAGGGTGACACATGTATGTGACATAGCAATAAAAAAACAAAAAACCACACAAGTGGGATGCACTTTCTGACTCTTTGCTGTGAGCTGTCAGCATTTTTGTCCTTACTCGTGTA